TATTTTGTGTATTTTCTGTATATATATATACATATAAACAACATTATATATTTTTCCAAAAAAAAAAAAAAAAAAAAACTCAACAAGCTTCTTTTTTAAAGCTAGTAGTTTAATAAATTTTTTTTTTTTTTTTTACTCCAAAGAAGAGGAAAGCATCCCAAAAGGAGAATGAACTCCATAAGGAAAGGAAGAATCAAGGCACTCTGCAAGGAATCGAAAGGAAGAGAACACTCCGCAAGGAGGTTAAGGCACTCCAAAGGAGGAAAAAACAAAGTAGAAATTTCTCTACCTTTCGCCATAACAATCATACAGTTGTTGACAAATGGGGGTGGTGGTAATAGCGTCTAAGGAAAAATATAGTTAGATATAAATTTATATCTAAAAAAAATCACGATCACGAAATTTGTTTTGACGAAATTTGTTTTGATCAAATTTGGGCAATTTTTAACACGTGATTTAAGTGATTTGGTCATAGATTTTGATTGGCTAAAAATTGTAGGATAATGTAATACACTAACGCATTTTTCTTTTTTACGCAAGGTTCGAAGATATTCCACCTGCAAGTTGTACTATAACTTGTGGTGCACCTTTGGCTATTTGAATTTCTTTTTGCGTTTCAAGGTCTATTGCCGTAACTTGTGATAATTTTTTTGAAGGATTAAAAGGAACAAATGATTTAACCTTGAAACCAGGAACTTCATGTTCATTTTCACGATTTTTTAAAATGTCAAGTTTTTTTTCTGCCGCATCTCTAACAGCTAATTCTATAGTATCATCTGTGCCTGGGTCAGAGCATACATATGCATGCAAAAAAAGGTCAGATTCCGTATAGGAAGGAGCCAGCCATGAATCATCAGTGGATAGTTCGTTAAGGGTGAGTGTACCAGTTTTATCGGAACAAAGAATAGAGGCAGAAGCCAATTCTTCAATGGCTGCTAAACATCTAATAATTACTTTTTTGGCTGCTAGTTGCCGGCCATAGTTACGGAAAGAACAGTTGGTAAACCGACCTTTATAAAAGCAAGACAAAAATGAATCATAATTATTTAATAAACATTTCTTTTTTTTTTTAAAAAAAAAAAAAAAAGACTCGTTGCAATAAAAAATATGTACCGGAATAGCTGCAACCGTCAACACCAGAATATGTTGCAAAATTACTAATACATTACCAGAACTTGTATTTCGAAATTTGACCGCCTGATATATAAAATGATGATTACAAGAGTGACCGTGATCAAAATCAAGAAATTGCCAATTTTATTGAAAATGGCCTTGATCCACGGCCATGTTCATAAGCGCAGCGGCACGTCCAATATATGTATCTTTCCCAGCTTTTTACAAAATTAAAACAATTAAATGTTAAAAAAACAATGGGTTGAAAACCAATAAATTAAAAGGATTATAATTGTCGTTAGATTGTTATTTACTTTTGACAACGATAGCCAACATTTGTTGCTTAACTATAGAACTATCATCATAGTATAATCGTATAATAATAGAAAGTCAGTTATATGGAAAATATGTTGAAAATTTGAATGTTAACATTTATAGCGTAATCACCTTGAATATACAACATCTCCTTTGTTGCGATGTACCGGTAAACTTTCACCTGTGGTTAAATTATATCAATTAACCAAAATTTTCGCAGCATCCAAGGAATAAAAACAAAAACAGTAATAATACACGTACCAGTCAATGCCGATTGATCCACCATCAAGTATTCTGAAGATTCTGAACCAGAAGCACTAATTCCCAATAATTTTGCATCAGCCAGTATGATATTTCCATCCGCAAAGCAATAACGTCACCCGGAACCAATTTCGTAGTATCCAAGTCGACCAATTTTCCATCACGCCAAACCTTCGTTTTAACGCTAAAGTCTGCTTTAGCGCTTCTAACGCAGATTCTGCACGTGCTTGAATCCTATACATGCGTTAACAATCAAAAGTGCGAGAATTATGCCGAAATCTACCCAATCCCTGCCACTATACAAGCTAGTTCAATCAAGTAGGCGATCGGACCTCGAAAGTATGAAAAGAATTTTAAGAACATATTACTATAAGCATTGAAGAATCGATGAATATATAATCTGAAGTGATAATCGAAATTAAACATGAAAATTCACTCAATTCGCACCTCCTCTTCTATCGATCGCATGTATTCTTTTCATCTTCAATCCCATATTCTGCACGAGTCCCTTAAGAAAAAAAAATCCCGGTTGATATCATAACATAAGGCTGAAACAGTTAATGAATTAATATTTACGAATTGCGCCGGCTAAAACGTCGTTTCAAATGTTTGTGATTTCAAACAATTTCAAAAATATGGGTGTGTTGAAAGACTTTCACCCCTTGCAAGAAA